GATAAATTGCATACCTGCACTATTGTATGTATACACACACACACACACACGTATAAATCCTTGTATTTACATATTATAGACATTTGAACCATATGTAAAAACAATCATTTCTAAGGAATTTGATAGTAATGTAGCCAAGTAGAAGTTCTAATTTTTCATTCTACATCTAGCGGTTGGTCCTGTGCACCCCACATGGCTCACACGCTCCACTTTAGAGATCACTGTAGCAACCCTCCAAGAAATTATATTAAGGAGCACATGGCCCAAACTTGCATAACGCTACTCTATTTTGTTTGTACATCCACATCATTTGGTTATTTACTCAACCTATTTCTATTACTCTGAAGAAGTTAATGTGTCTGTCCAATTCAAAGTTGATAACACCCAATTAGTTCAACAACTGTATTTGCAAATATTATAAATAAGGATTAAAGGCACCATCTTTAGATTTGACTTACATTCCAGGAAGTCAGAGGAAAAACAAAAACAAAAGCATAAGAGCAAAAAAGAAAAAAAAATCAACTTTGTGTTACTGGGTAATTGATTTTTTTTTTTTTTTAGCTTTCAAAATAGATAAAATCAACACCTTAAAAAGACTTGTCTTTAACCCAGGATTTCTTTTATTAAAGTATACAATTGTGGGTGTGTGCCTAGAGGAGTAATAGTTTGTTCCTAACAAAAGAGTCTAGATTCCACAATATGCCTCTTGCCAGAGGCACGTTCCCCCAAAGCACACAGCTAACTGCATCTCCTGCTGTACCTGTAACAATTTAATTGTATAAGTCAGCCTAGTCAAGCATCTCCAGCTCATGACTGGGAGACATGAAATTCATTGTCATTATTGTCCCTGTCATTTTGGATCATTATATCCTGCTGCAGAATTTTCCTCACTTCAGTGCATTTTTACCTCCAGGAGCCAGGGATTATAGCTGAGGCTGGGGTGGGGGCAGGACCGTGAACTACATTTACCTCAGGGGAGCCAGAGATTAAATTGGCTTTGCTCTCTCATGAGCTGAATTCATCTATTTGTATGCTGTTGAGTTTTAGGCTGGAATAAAAATGAATATTCTAGTGAACCCTGGGCTTTAAGTCCCCCTTTGAAACATGGATATAACCAACTTTTATTTACATTAGGAAAGCTAATGTAATTTCCTGTAGGTAGCTATTTTCATATATGCATAAGGAATACTTCAGGACATCACTGAGTATGAAATAACAGACATCTCTCTCTGTCAGTATCTTGACTCTCAGAAGGAAGAATTTAAAGCTGTAATTTTGTTCTCCAGTTTCATCTTATAGAAGCTTAATGGTGGTATTTACTGGTTTTAAATATTTAATGATTTTTAATTATATCTCATTTTCTGTGCACTGGATTGGATAACTGGAGTCCAACTAGAATGGCACCAAAGATCATATTCTGGGAATTGGAAGATTAAAGTCAAATTGACAGAGGAAGACAAAATAAGTTCCTTAGGAAACTGGCAACCCCCCTCCAGAGCAGTGCACATCTCCCAGCATGCCAAGACACCCAAGCCTGACATGCCTTAAATACTTCTTGCTGAGAGTTGGACTAGCCACCATTTTCCCTACCTTATTAGGGGTAATGGCCATGGCCAGCATTCAGCTGATGGCTCTCTGGTAGCAGATGGCAAGGAACAGGTAGGAAACACCAGGATTGTGTCTCCTTCAGAAAACCGGTGAGCTGACTGTATGTTTTCTCTGACGGAAGACAGGAAGAAAATATAACCTGATCTGTCACTTCCTATCCCAACTTTCATTTCACATGAATTTTACTGAGAAATTTGACATTTACCTTGTCTGCACTGAAAAAGATGGTAGTAATTCCTCCATATGTGTGAGTTTGTTTTTCAGCAGTTTAACAACAAAAGATGGCAAATGGATCATACCTATGCCAAGCACATAATAGCCACTATAATGACTACATTTAAAAGTATATGGAATTTATTTTATTGCCCTCATTGACTTTAGTGGGGGAATAAATTTTGCCTTAATCAAATGCAATGGCCATCACTATTTACATAGGCCAAACTATTCTTATGAATAATTAAGAAAACCATTTTGATCTTTGTACATTTTGTACTTCAGAGGAAGCACCTTATAGCCCTTACATCTCAGTGTTGAGGAACGTGTTAAAGATTGTCTCAGCCACTGGTCTAAGTTCATAGCAACGTTTACTAGACTGACTGTATTTTCACACCATTATATGTCACTTTTCAATGATACTGAAGTAACTGTATAATGAATTACTAATAAGAGTTTTTAGATAGCTAAACTTCTTGTAGCATTTAGAAATTCAATGTACTTACTTGTGCCACTTTTTCACCAATAATCAAGATTCTCCCAAGTTGGGAATTATAAAAATTGTTATTTCTGTTCACTTTAAAGTGGTTAATTTTATGTTATGTGAATTTTACCTCAATAATTATTTTTTAAGTAAAAAAAAAAGTTATTTCAAACAGCCCAAATACATTTTGAAATTATCTGGGTAGCTTATTACATTCTCAATTTATAAAGAAGAATTTTTTTTCTTGTTAAGAAAGCTTTATCTTATAAATTACAACGTGTAGACCTCATTTGCAATAGTAAATGTTCAGGTAACTCTTCCTCTTTGAAATACTTTGGTGACAGGATGATAATGTTATTGTCTGGTCAAGGGGTAAGGCATTCCTTCCTTTATCTGAGCACACACTTACTACATCTAATATGCTTCTACGTATCTGCTCCTTCCTACCTCACTCCCTCATTGATATTTAATTTGCTCATCACACCATTGGGTAAAACAGGAGTTGTCCCATCTGTGACTACAGTTGTGAAACCAACACTACACTCTGTTTGACATTCTTGTTTTGCCTCACCTCAAGCATGACATAGTTGTACCTGTATCATTTCAGAATAAGGATAAAAATGTAAATATAAATAAACATACATATTTCAAATGAATAGAATATAATTATTTTCATCCCTTCATACGATTTTTACAGTCAACCTTCAAGTACCAAACGGAAATTATTTTAAATAATTTAAATAATAATAATTTTAAATAATGATTTTTGTATTTTTCACTAATCCTTGCTAAACTCATAATTTTGCAACTTGTAACAAGGTATGAAAACCAATTTTAAAGAAATTCTTCTTCCTCTTGCTTTTACTTGGATAATGTTTCTTCTGCACATGTGACATAGACTTTCTTTGGTTTCTCTATATAGAATCAACAACAATCTATAATTCCTAACAATATCAGACCAACAAAAAACCAGGATGCCACAAATTCAGATATGACATCCACTCACAGTCCTCTCAAGGAGACTCAGATATGCACGAGCTAAAAAATAAAACTAGTTAGTGTTTGCTACATCACGTGGTGAAGAAAACGACCAAGTATTTGAGAGGGTTTATGCAGGCGGAATGAGCCATGTGAGGCAAAGGGCACAAACATTTCCTTGTCAGCATGGGCAGAATGCCATTTGCAGAATGCCTTCGTACTCCTCCTGGACCAAAAACCTCTTTAATATAATCACTCACTAAACTACAATGGATTAACATCAAGGGTCCAATGTGGAGAAAGCAAATTCACAGTTAAGGTTGTCCTTTAATACGTAGGCTCAATCAAGGGCACCGAAAATTAGTTAAGAGCCCCCCCTGTGGTGCTTAGATGCTGGAAGGCACTGTAAATTATGAATTTTCTAGCTTTTAATGTTTGTCTAAGACCCTTAACATTTTTCCAAAATTGTTGCTCCTAGGACATTTTCTTGAGTTTTTCCCTGTTGCCCCCTTTGTGCATATACATTCTGCACTCACACATGAAAGCATGACAGCTCAATTGATTCAGAAATCTAACAATGAGAAGAAGAACAAAGGGGGTAGCCTTGAGGATATCCCATAATATGAAGTATAAATATCAAAGTCTCCTGACCAAAACAAAAAAAAAAAGAGAGAGAGAGAGAGAGAACAGAAAACCAAAAAACCATTTCTTCATGCTAAGAATTTAGATATCTAACATCTAACATGAAATACAAAAGATCACATAATGGGGTTAAAAAAAAAAAAAAAAACCCACCAAGCTATAGAGCTTAAGTTGTCTTTTGTGTCCAAAATTTCTAAGACTTCTTGAGCATGTACAGTTAATTATCTGTGTCCGGCTATTTATTTTATAAATGGACATCCATCCCTGGACTATTTTCCAAAATTCCATATACCCTTTAAAAGTATAGTAAAATTTCGCAAATGGCTTTTCCTGTTTTGTCTTGTATTGTACTGTGGTCCATCTGGAGATATATTAAGTGGTTAGTTCCTTCGAATAAAAGTGTGTAAAAGTATATTGTTCACATACACCCACACCCACCCACACACACAAAGAAGAACATGGAACACATGGCAAATGGATATTAGATAATGTTATTGTTAGAAAACATCTAACAACAATAAAATAAGCAATAAAAACTGGGGCTTTGGCTTAACAGATGCAATGTTCATTCATCTACCTTCATCACATAAATTATATGTTCAAGAATTGTGTCCTGTGCAAAATACAAACATGTCAATTTCAGCCCAGGGGGCATTTTTCCCTAGGTTTATAACCCCTTGAAAATAGAGGTTTCATCTAGAAAACCTAACAGATCCTCAGCTGCTCTCAACATAATATATTCATAAGGCAAGTATTCACTGGCAAACATATAACAAATTAAATGGCATGTGGGTGGGGTCCAGATTCATAATGATGGAAAATGAACCAAACCAACCATGAGACACAGTAGAAATGAAAGAAGAAAAAGAATATGCAAAAACAAACAATATTAAAAGCAAAATGCCATAGGTAGTTCTTCAGCTAGTAGTAGACAAAATGGTGAGTGTGTGCACATGTGTTTGTGTGTTGTCTAAGATCGGCATTAAAATTAAGAATGTAAAACTATCTCATTAGGAACATACTAAAAGGGTCATGAGTAAGAGAAAAGTATCCTATAGAAAGAAAAACCACATACCGTCATAGTAGACAATTGCTCCTACCAGTTTGTCCTTCTGGAGCATTGGGAAATGTTCTAGGGCTCTTGATTTGCTCAGGACATAACTGCTTTTCAGGCAATTACTTCCTGCAACCAGATCATATAGCTTGATTCCTACCCAGTAGTAAGGTAGCTGCCACCACCTATAGCATAAATAGGGGGAAAGGTTTCTTGAGACACAGAGCAGAACACTGTAGAATGCCACTTCAAGTTACAACATACTTTTCATTTAAGAAAGCAATGTATATCTAGAAGTGTACTTACTGCAAAAGAAACAGGAGGAACTGCATGACTGTTTTTGACACCAACTGAGCTGAATTATATAAGTAAATGAATCAGTGAGACTTTAAATGAATCATCTTTAAGGCAGTGCTTCTTGACCTGACCACGTATGGGAATTCTCTGGGGAGCACCAACCGTAAATACAGATACCCGGGCCTCACATGTCTAGACTGATTTAAGTGGACGAAGGTTGGGGGCCTGGGTGACTCTCATGTGCACCCAGGGTAATTCACTGGTTCATGATGTCCTAAGCCATCTACGACAAAATATGACAAAAATGATAAAATCTGTTTCTAGGCACTCACAAGTCTCATGTGGCTAGCAGTTGCACAAATCACTGTTTCATATTACCTGTATTCCAACTTAAGGCAAGTTCATGGACAGCTCTAACAACATCAGGAAAATTGGGTTTTATAATTTATAATCTGACACCTCTAAACCAAATTTCAGTTTTGGTTAATTTGGAAATTTAAAATGAGCCAAAATGGTTTAGGCTTGGAGTTGGTACATGTTAGGTTCAGATTTTGCAGCAGGATACTTTTTGACTATGCGTTTTGTTTGCCAATGATCCTCTTCTGGGAAGCACACAATGACCCTCTTCTGTTCCCCAGTCCAAATGCAGTTTCTCTTCTAAAGACTCTTGGTAAACTGGGGTTAGAAACTACTAATTATAAACACAGAATACAACCTCCTCAGCCTTCAATATTTAGCCCTTAGAGGTGGGTCAGAAAAGAGTAATTCAGGAAAAGCCACACTTTTAAGCACAACAAAGGCAAACATTTGAAAAGGATTAAAGATTAGGATCAATTAAAAGTACATTAAGAAATACACATTGAGGGACTATTTCCATTAAAACGGTGTTGTTCTATTGACCTCAGTTAAGCAAACAGTATAGAGATGATATCAAAAGGCTTACTTGTAAATTGGAAGCATTATGGGCAACGGAGCTGATAAATGGGGAGCAATTTCTAGTAGGTTGGCACGCTCATGAAGGGCTTCTTTTACCATCCTATACTGAAAAGCAAAACAGAGAAAATTAGTTTGGCAGTAACAGATCATAATATTTTCAAATGGCAAATAGACACCCTGCCAACTGATTGATACACAGAAACCTCTCTACCTCTGAGTGAGGATCGCTCCCTCCTAATCAAATTTCTAACAATACATCATGCTGTCAACCTGAAAGATTTTTTAGAAACCTTAACTGTATTTGCATAGGAGAAAAACATGCTGTCAGAGTTCCCAAGTGTAAGATCTTTTCCTGACTTGAGTTACAAGATTATTGTAACAATTTATCTTGCATTCTCTGTATTGTCCGCCTTCTCAGTCCTCTATAATATTTCCCCGTGTAAGAAATAACAGATTGTTCAAATTCATGCTAAATGTTCCCTCCTTGCCTCCACTAACACAAGCAGAGATAATACTTAGGAGTTGCACAGTATTTTATAGATTACAGAAAAGCTTTTGTCTTGACTCCCTTCGTCTTCGTTATGCCTCTCTGAAAAGCCAGGATTACTACTGTAACACTAATTTAAAAATGAGAAAACTGAGGCTCATAGACATTGAATAAATAAGCTGGAACACATCACAAGTCGTCTGATTCTAGGTCCTATGCTCTTTTCTTTGCATCCATCATGATGCCGAAGAGACACGGAAGAAAAGAGGACACATTGGAAACTGACAATGTCAAGTTAGCACTGCTATGTTTTTCATGTACCAGAAGCAGATAGGGAGTTCAGCTGATTTTTTTTACCCCTCTGGGAAATGTCATCTTCCACATTGCCTTGGCAGTTTTCAAATGGTGGCAGACTGGACACAATAAAGTGTGACATAAGAAAAGCATGACTCAGATCATCTTTTCCTTAAGAATATGTCAGTGGCAATATGAGTGTATGATTGCAGTTACAGTAAGAGGATCAATTTAACACTCCTGTATTACAACACGGTCCCCCTGAAACTGTCTGGAAAGTAGCCATGTGGTAGCCATTGGCAAAACAAACAAACAAACCATCACAATTGTTAAAAGGCAACATATCCAAAGGTGATTTTGTAAATTTGCTACCTTGACATGCCTGCATGGAAAAAGCCCCTGATTACCCATAAACATCATGCTACGGGAAAGAGCCAGCACACCTCTCCTGAAAGATATGCCAGCAGAATACACACTAAATAGGTATTTCCAACAGGAAGAAATGTTAAAAGCCATAAAAAAAAAAAACCTGCTTTAATTGGTTAGAAAAAAGCATAGTCGCAATTTTTGTTTAACAACCAGCATACACAATTACCTGCTCAATATCCAACTTCATGATAGCCTTCTGAAGATATCTCACACCACCATGGATCAATTTAGTGCTTCTGCTGCTGGTCCCTGATGAGAAATCATCTCTTTCTACAAGGGCTGTTTTTAGTCCTGTGTAACCAGAAAACCAAATTAACTTCTTAAATTACACAATTTGTATGTAATTCATTAAAGGCACTTCTCCAGGGTAGAGACAATCACAAGAAAAATTACTCTGAACATGGATAAATTTGTATTCAAAGTGCAGTACACTGTCTATATTATAATGAAGAGATTTTAGCCTCTTCCTGGGGGAAAAGTCAAACCAGAACTAGAAGCATATTAAACTGTGAATGACTCACAACTAGAAAATATTACAGTACAATTTCATGGCAGTAACATACTCCGGGGCATTGAGAGGGTCAAAGGAGAGCCTGGCACCCATCCTGACCCATGCAGAGTTAACTCAGTGTTGTTTCGAAGCCTTGTGGAACTCACATTCATCCCTCACTACAAGTCTCTTACACGTCCCAGCCCCTCATCCATAGTCTACTCTAACACGTCATCCATAAATCACGACCGGACCTCCTGTATGCTGGCTGCCATTTCCGGAGTGGTGTTAGAGTGGGTATAAAATGGGGGAAAAGACCAAAGGCATCAAAAGGGAAGAAGGAAGAGAATAACCTCTGATTTTGAGGGATTTATAGTCTAAGACATGCAAGCACAGTATTATAGAATTACAAAGAAAAATACAAGCCAGGACAAATAAACCCAGTGCAGAGTACCCATGAGTAAAGACAAGACAATATTTTTGGTAAAGGTGAGGCTGAGCAAAGATAGGTTGGTTCTAGAAACCATGTTTCTGCCCCTTTCTTTGAGGGTTGCAATAAATCTCTTGCGGACGAAAACAGCTTTGTTTTGTTTCCTTTTCTTACAGAGTCATCCCTGCTTCTTAGGATTGGGTAGGACCCACAGTACCACAAGTGCCATACACTAGTTAGAGATAAAACCCCAAACTTCAAAAGACGCAACATACACATCAACACCGAGCCATGAGGAATTTTCAATGCCTGGCATACTCATAGTGGATGAGAGAATGTCATAGAATCCAATTACAATGAGAATATGTAACTGGAAAAGTTTGGGCTCACAAAGCTCATATAAGAGAATCTGTGCATGTATTCAATTCAGAGCCATTTATTACATTTAATACCAAAGGGTCGTTTTTATAACTTTTAACAGTTTAAATATCGTACCCAAATGTCATCATAAAATCAGGGCAATTCCCTTGACTCAAAAGGACAAAATACTTGGAAACTGTGGAGGAAAAGCAGAGAACTATGATTCAAGGGCAAAAGTGCTAATGCTCTAAATAACTAGCAAAATAACACAGAAATTACAGGTACTGCAGCCCCAGCTCACACTTTTGAAGCATTTATGCGAGACAAAGATCTGTCAAAGTTTCGACTCTGAAAACTCTATCAGATATGCTTAGTAAATTCAGTACTAAATGTATTTAAAAAAAAAAACAGGAAAATATGTCAAGTTAGCACATATATTTTAAAAGAATATGGAGAACGTAAGTGCCAGGCAAAGTGCTGGCATTAGAAATGAATTCAGCATGGACCAAGCTGTCATGCAGCTCCCAGCTCAGAGAGAGGCAAGTAAGTGCAACAGTTTTATAGGTGCTAAGATTTGCAAATACAGAGAACTCTTATCTTACTCTGGGTTAGAAGTTAAAATCAGGACATAAACCTAAAATTGCATAGTCAAGATTACATTTGGTAATCTCAAGAATGCTCTGCTTTGGTGAGTTTTTTCACCTTTTCTTACTAAGTCCAACAGAGAGATCTTCTTCCAGGGCTAAAATAGACCATTGTGTCTTCAGTTGAAGATCGGGTGAGGGAGTTGACTTTCAAAGAGCATTTAAGAGCCAGATTATTTAAACTATACCTATCATTTAACCTTGGAAATCCAGTCATGGCACCAAGATGCCTGCCCCACGAGAGGTAGGGACATGAGAGTGAGAGAGCCCTCCCATCCAGCCCCTGGCTCCCCAGCTGGGCCTATACCCAGTAATGCCCACCTCCCAGCATGGATCCCCTACCCACAAGTGTGGACTGGACCTAGCGCCTTGCTTCTAATGAACAGAACGCAACAATTAGGGCATGCCACTTCTGTGACTAGGTTACAGAAGACTGTGACTCCTGCTCTCTCTCTCTTGCTTTCTAGGATGAAGCAAACTGTCATGTTTTAAGACCACAGCCTAAGGCAGGCCCCCAGGCAACAGGTCACAAGGATCTGAGGCCTCAGTCCAAACACCAGTGAGGAAGTGAATCTGCCAACAACTTCGGGAGTTACTAGGAAGCACTCAGAGCTAGAGAACCCAGGCTCAAGCACAGCCAGATCCCTGACCCACCAAAATTGTGTGATAGCAAAGGTCGTTTTAGGCCACTAAATTTTGAGGTAGCTTATTGATGGCATGATTCCCGTGTGATTAATAACTGCAAACACAGTATAAGTTTTTCATTGTACCTGGGGTTGGGGTCTTCAAGAAAAGCTGAGTTTACAGAGGAGTACGTGTTCAAGATAGGAGAGGAAGGAATGATCACTGGCAAAAAAAAAAAAAAAAAGTACTTAAGCAAGAGAAAGGCAAATGCTTGAGATGGCCCAGCTCATTTAGGGGCCGCTTGTCACTCAGGGGCTGGGGACAATGTGAAGGAGATCCAGGGGGAGGAACAGTAAAAGGCAGATCACAAACGGCCTTTCATCCACACTGGGAAATCTGGACTCCATCCTATGGGCAATTGTTTCTCACAAGTAAGTAATATCTGAGTCTCCTGAAAAGGAAAATGCCTCTGAGACCATGGCTCCAAGTTGTGGATTGGTTTGAGAAGCACATGCTTTGTCAGAAAGTACAACCAGACTTACTGTGATAGTTTTTCAATATATACAAATATCAAATTATTATATTGTATATCTGCAACTAATGTTATATGTCAATCATACTACAATAAAGAAAATAAAAGAAATATCATAGAAAGAAGAAAAAAAGAAAGTACAAGATTTGGCATCAATGCTAAAGAAGCATGAACCCAAGCACTGTTCTCAGCTCCAAGTTACCCATTTTGAGGAAAGGTATTGCTGGTTGCTTTTTGTATTATGATGATTATAAAAAAGGAATAACATTTCAATTTTTTCCAGAAATTCTCAGATATTGTTTTGAGAAACACAACTGTGCTATCTGTCAGGGGAACCACCAAAGTGTTTTAAGCTGAGAAATCAGATTAATGTTCTAGAAAGATCTCTCTGTGGGGGTGGAGGGCAGGGGTAGAGGGGGCAAGAGATGGCGGGCAGACCATTTAGGGGATGTGTGCCATACAGCAGGAGCAGGGCAATGAACCCTGCTCCTGAGTCCAGCCTCACAAGGCAGAAGATGGTACTGGAGAGTGATATGAGGAGAGAATTTTATGGGCTTGTGTTATCAGGATGGATCTTTTTTTTTTTTTTCTTTCCTAAACTGACAGAGTGTGAGGCAGGGAACTACTCTAGGAATTAGCAAGCCATCTCAGGAGGATATTTCAGGATATGTAAGTGAGAGCTAACACTTTAAAGCCTCAAAACTGCTTTTGCAAGTATTGGACATTTAAAAAAGTTATTCACATGTATTTATGTGAGAAACCCTAGTGAATACCAACAAAAGTTAAAATGGGCTCCTCTGTCAAACCAGGCTGTTTTGCTTGTCCTATTATTTCTAGTGCCATCTCATCAAGCTACCCACCAGAATTCCTGGAGCAAAATGATACTGCTTCTTCCAGAGCAAAAAAACATAAAAATGTAACCTCCAAAGTTATAGCTAAATTGATATATTCAAGCACCATGTAACCTAAAAATACTACCAAAAGTTTTCAGAACCAAACACAAAAAACACCCAGATATTCGAAAAAAAAGAAAATATTTTTAAATTTTCAACTGCAATTATACACTAATGTTTTCTCATTTTTGTTGAATGAGAACAATGGAATGAGGGAGGACGTAAATGATGCAAAATCAAGACATTACTAGAAGTTCTGTTTCTCATAAACATATATATATATATATTTTTAAAGATTTTATTTATTTATTTGACAGAGAGAGACACAGCGAGAGAGGGAACACAAGCAGGGGGAGTGGGAGAGGGAGAAGCAGGCTTCCCGCGGAGCAGAGAGCCTGATGTGGGGCTTGATCCCAGGACCCTGGGATAATGACCTGGGCCGAAGGCAGACACTTATCAACTGAGCCACCCAGGAGCCTTCTCAAAAATATATTTTTAACTAATTAGCCAACTAAAGCAAAGACAATGAAATTTTTAAAAGCCTTATAATCTTGCACAGTTCCATTATCTAATATGTTCCTTTCTGTTTCACCCCTCAAAAATCCAAAATTTTCCTCCCCTCAAAAATTACTGATCCAAAATTCAGAGCTCAGTTTTCTGATACTTTAAGTATAAAGTAAGGAAGTGAAAAGAGGGTACTGTTTTACCTTTTTAAAGACAATGAACAGTATTTTAAGTGACATTTTGCGTTCTTAGGTAAAATAATTAAGTTTGAAGGGCATCAAAAATAATGTACGCAGGCTTCAAGCAACTACTCCTGGGGGCACCTGGGTGGCTCAGTCATTAGGCGTCTGCCTTCGGCTCAGATCATCATCTCAGGGTCCTGGGATCGAGCCCCGCATGGGGTTCCCTGCTCCCCGGGAAGCCTGCTTCTCCCTCTCCCACTCCCCCTGCTTGTGTTCCCTCTCTCACTGTCTCTCTCTCTGTCAAATAAATAAATAAAATATTAAAAAAAAAAAAAAAGGGCAACTACTCCTGGCTGTGGATTTGAGGAGCTCAGGAAGACCTTCCCTCACAGTAGAAAGAATGGCCGTCCCACATGCCTAGCAACGAAGGGCTGACCTCTCTGTGCATTTATAGTAATTCAACTAAACTAGTTCAAGATTTTATGAGGAATAGTTTTTGTTTTTTTCTTTTCTTCTTAGCAGTTACTTTTTATGGAAAGCGATGAGCTCTATCACTGCTGAGATGAACCAGAACATTTAGGAGTGGTACTGTTATTTTATTTATTTTTTTATTATTGATTGCTTTTAGTAGG